ATAGGAGTTTTGTAATGTCCAAAGGCCAAGGAAACAGTCCCACTTTACATGCCCTTGCAAATCCCTGCAGGGATCGCTAATTTTTCAGGGACTCAGAAAGAGAATCCTAAAGCATAGGAGCAGCAACATGAAAAGATGTTTTCGTAATATATCCAAGCCAAACAGCTTCAATAGTTGAGACCTTTAGAGAAGCTGTTCTTCATGACCTCACCTGGTGCAGGGGGTTAGAGGAGATCCAGAAGCTATGTGAATCCTATAAGCTATGTAGGACTTTAAAGGTAATTATCAGCATGGTTGTTGTGGGTTTTTCAGGCTCTTTGGCCACGTTCTGAAGGCACTCCCAAGCCAACTACACCAGAGCACAGAGTGCTGTTGTCTGAAGATACGAGCCACAGAGACTGGCGAAACGTTAGGAAGAACAACCTTCAGAATGCGGCCAAAGAGCCCGAAAAACCCACAACAACAATTACATCCCGGCTATGAAAGCCTTCGCGAATACATTAATTATCAGCATCTTTTATTGAACCCAGAAAACTACCCACAAAGTTCATGCAGCTGGCACAAAACAGGTGTCATAAAATCACAAAAGGAGGCATCCATTAATAGCCTAGCCATCACCATATTCTATCAGTTGAAGCTCCTGAGTTGTTTTCAGGGGTAGCTGTCCACAAAGCACATACAGTACGCTCCAACCCTGGAGGCATTCAAGAGAAATTTAGACAGCGAGAAGGCAGATAGATATCCTTTGATTTGTATCCCTGCACTGAGAAGGGGGTTGGACTTGATGACCTTATAGGCCCCTTCATTATTCTGTGATTCTAAATTGGAGGGGGTCTTATTTCAAGATTACAGTTGCATGGATCAGCATCGCCACATCTCCAGTTTCCCAAGTCAGGAGAAATGTCCAGGCCAGGGACAGATGATAAAATGCTAACCCAAGTACAGTTCACACCTGTTTCACCATTGGATCTAATAAGTCAGCTAAGCTCCTTATCTGGTTCACAAGGAATTTCTCTCTCTCTCCCTCTCTCTCAACCTTTAGAGAGGTGACAGCTGGCTTTATCAGTTGTCAGCTGACCAGCATCTCCTCTAGATGTTCTGTCTGGATTCAGCTTCAGTTTGTTGAACCTCAGCCATTTGACCATAGACTCTAGACTAGACAAGTGAAGAACGTCTGCCTCTGGTTGCTTAGTTAACATAGAAATACTGTAGTTGGGTATTGTCGGCATATTGATGACATCCAACTCCAAAGCCACACATAGATGATCTCTGACACTGATTTCTTGTATGTATGGAAGAGCATTGGAGCCAAAACTCAAAAGTTTATAAAACTCAATGTTTTATTACAGGTAGCTATGACAGCAAATCAGGATGTTTTTGTCCTGGATTTTTTTTCCCTGTGTATTTTTACTGAGTAGGCCAGCAAATATACATCCTTCTCTCCCAAAACATCAGTTTCTAAAAATATCTCTAGAAGCATAAGCTTCTGCCCAGCTCTCTTTTTCCTCCCTCCACCTCATTTGTACTGTTTATGAATAAATGTTATCAGGGCGACCATGCAACCTGATTACAGAATAATTTGTAGCACAACTGATTCCAAAATAGTCTCTGAGAATTATCCATTGTCTGTTTGCAACAGGTGTTCAATTCTGGTACATGGTGGCAAATTATGGGCTGGGCTCGGTCAGAAAGAGAAAATAACATTACTCTTCCTTAGCCACTCAGGTTGTCTGCTTTACAGGTCAAAAATCAGGAAAAAAATGGGCTTTTCTGTAGAGCTGCCTTCTGCTTCCATTATAGTGAGATTGGCTGCAATCTAACCAATTGGACATTGAGGCTTCCATCCCAAAATTTTCTTCGTTGTAATGCAGCTTCCAGGATTCTCCAGCCAACATAGATTGTGGAAGGTGTAGTCTGAACAATGTTTTCAGCTGTAACTTGTCATGTTGTAAATAAAAAAGGCACAGTGAAACAACAGCCATGCATGAGACCTACTTCATGCTACCTTGTGCTGCAGCACAGTATCTTACCATTCTGTGGGCTACAAGGAGACACAGAAAGAAAAGAGTCATTCTGGAGAGGTTAATACCAAGAAGTAAGCAAAAGTGCTATTTTATGCCACCCCATAGTGCTTACACCACTCTCTGGGTGGTTGCAATTCAATAATGCAGGCTACATATACCCCCACCCAGCAAGCTGGGTACTTAGTTTACCAACCTTGGAAGGATGGAAGGCTGAGTCAGTGTTGAGCTGGCTACCTGAATCTGTTGGGATAGAGCAGGGGTCTCCAAAGTGCGGCTCGCGGGCCATATCTGGCCCACTTTGCCTTTTTATCCAGTCCAGCAGATGGGTGGGCTGGCAGGTGTGCACACGCATGGGTGTGCAGGTGTGTATGTGTGTAGGCACGGGGGCACTGGGGCAGGCCAGGTGGTCAGGTGGGAGTGCGCGCATGTGTGCATCTTCCTTCATGCTCCATATTCTCAATATTCAAAAGGACCAATAATTCAGCAGGGTGGGGAATACCCACCATCCATTGTTCAATTGTAAGAGCATTTTAATTGGTTTATTGTGCATGGACCTGTATTCTAAATATCTTTTTGGCAATATAGTCTCTACTTAGAGTAACATATGTGACTACAGTGGTGCCTCGCTTAACGACAATAATCCGTTCCAGGAAAATCGCCATTAAGCAAAAACATCGTAAAACGAAAATAAAAACCCCATTGAAATGCATCGAAACCCATTCAGTGCGTTCCAATGGGGTAAAAACTCACCATCCAGCGAAGATCCTCCATACGGCGGCCATTTTCGCTGCCTGTATAGCGAGGAATCTGTCCCTAAACACAGTGGGGAGCCATTTTAATTACCCGGTGGCCATTTTTAAGCTGCCGATCAGGTGTTCTAAAAACGTTTTGTCAAGAATCGATTCCCGAAGCAGGGAACCGATCATCACAAAGCAAAATTCCCCCATTTAGACCATCGTTTTGCGATCGCAATTCCGATCACAAAAAGATTGTTGTAAAGCGGATTTATCATAATGCGGGGCAATTGTTAAATGAGGCACCACTGTAGTTAAGTAGCTGTATGTGTTCCTTTCTCCCCTTGTCTTTCAGTACTTTTTATATTTCAAGCCAGTTTTTAAAAAATCATGCAAAGGGAGTTGTGCCAAATCAGGGTGGCCTGAAATAAGAATGAAGCCATATGAATTGATCTATGTTCATTGCCCATACTGGCCAAACTAGCTTACACTGTGAACATTCAGTGTAACAAATAATATAATAGTTAAGCTAAAGCAGCAATTAAGATGCTAGTGAGTACATTCTGAAAAATTAGGTGCAATCCTAAAGGGGGCAGGAATCAAGAATTGTTCTGTAAAGAAACTTAAAAGATATGGAAGGATAAGAGGATATTTGTTCAGTTCCTGAAAGAGAATGAAACATGTTTCCCTGCAACTCTCCTAATCCATTGCCATTCACTTTGCTGGCAGAAGCTGGCAGGAATTGGGGTCCAGGCAAATCTAGAAGGGCACATCTTCTCCATTCCATTTTTAGGGGTGGCACTGAAGTTCACAACATGTGGTAGCCACTCTCCCTGCTTTTGACAGTAAATGCAGCTGGAGGTTGGCAGTCCTGCATTCAACCTGAAATGCAGTGGTGCCTTGCTTGACGATGTTAATTCGTTCCAGCGAAATCGCTGTAGAGCGAAAACGTCGTCAAACGAAATTTTTTAAAAAACCATTGAAACGCATTGAAAACTGTTCAATGCATTCTAATGGGCTGAATACCTGCTTGTCCCGCGAAGATTCTCCATACGGTGGCCATTTTGCGTGCCTGTAAAGCGAGGAATCTGTCCTAGAAAACAGCGGGGAGCCATTTTCTTCAGCCGGCAGCCATTTTGAAACCCGACGATCAGCTGTTTGCTGATGGTCGTAAAGCAAAAATCAGTTCCCAAAGCAGGGAACCAATCATCGCACAGCGAAAAAACCCAATTTAAAACATCATTTTGCGATCACAAAAGCAATCACAAAAACGTCAACATAAAACGGATTCGTCGTAGAGTGGGGTAATCGTCCAGCGGGGCATGACTGTACCTTAGGCTTCGAGGGATGTGGCCCTGATGCTCTTTGACCATGTCTAGTTCTTGGGAACCTGACATTCTGGGGTATAGCAGTTGTTGCTGTAGTTCACAGAAAGCATTGCAGACATCAGTCGGGTTCACTAATTATTCTCTTTGGAATTACAATTCTCTCAGGGTTGGAGTGGAATTAGAGATTATTTGGCAGAAAATTTTAGCATTTTCACCTGTCACTAGGATTCTTTGGGGGAAAGATATGTAAGTTTAAACAGCTACATAAATCTGTAGGGAAGGTCTGCCTTGGGAGAGCTTGCATTCTTGTTTATGGGTTTGAAATCCTTTGTGTTTCTTAAAGATGTGGAGTTGTGGAAAAATGAGGAAAGCTGTCTTCAATAGTTCCCCTGCAAAACTGTAATTCTGGAGCAGAGTGGGGGTGAGGTTTGTTGGCAGAAGATTTGCCCAGACACCATGAGAATCATGTTTGAACAGTCTGTCCTGAGTTTCTAAAAACTTCTGCCCCCAGCTTTCACGTCTATTATGCATTTTTCTGAATTCACACAGGACCTGTCTTTCTGAGGACGTGTGTTTCCCACCTGTTAAGACATAACCTCCATCTTTAGGTACATCTAATCTGGGTGGTGTTCTGTCACTCTCATGAGTCCTCTGTGTATGACATCTTGGCCACATTCCTGGAAACACTCTTAACACAAGTCAGTGAAGGAGGATATGCTTACGTATGGGCCTGGGAGGGGATAACACCACAGGTAGGCAGTGGTGACCTATGTGACGCCGGATATCATGGCTGTCGTTTGTAGCAGAAGCCAGAAAGAAACTTTCAGTGTTGCTTTGCGGCAGCTGTTTGCTTTTTGTGTGTCCTTGAATTTCCTCCTGTGGGGATGTCTAAACAGGTGTCTCTCTTTCCACAGCAGTCCATGGAGAGACCTAGATGTTCGGGAGGAGAATGAGACTGAATGGTGCCATGCCTTCCTGCGTTTTGGAGCATATTGTGTAAGTTGCCTTTGTGTTTTTTAACTACATTCTTCTAGATTGGGAATTATGTAGATTGGTGAGGAAAACCTCTGGCCCTGCCGTGGTGTTTGTTGTTGGACTGGAGTTCACCCTTGACCATGCTGGCTGGTTTCATGGAGTTGCAGTCCAGCACTAACAGGTAGACCGTTGACTCTGCAGTGTTAGCCTGAGCAGGCCTGGTGCGTTGGAGGAGGGAAAGCAGGTGGTGGAGAGGGGCTCCCGGCCATGACTGGGAGGAATGCCAGCAGAACTCTCACCTGCCTTTCCCTCCGGCGCAGGGTTGGAGAAGGGGGCCTTGGCCCATCAGCTGCCCAGCCAGCAAGCAGAGGAGAGGGATGAGTTGGGCCCAGTTAGCCATGATTTTTGTCTTAGCCAGCAAAAACACACACACACACGCACAAACACCCATTAGCCTCAAGTAGGCTTTCCTGGGAGTTGTTCCTTCATTCCCTGTGTATCAGGTCCTCAGGAAATCCTTCTGGACATTTAGTGCAGAATTCAAGGCTTTGTGTGCCACTGAGCTTTTTTCCATGCCTCAGGCATACTTTCTTACAAAGCAAATGCAGTAATGTGCATTGGGTGTAGCAAAGTAAGATTATCCCAGTCACATTTGGGTCAAAGGCAAAACTAGTTGGTGCTCGTACACATACGGGTTTCTGTGATACGTGACAAACACGATGCCAGTTGATCCAGTCTGCTTTATGTGCTCTAATGGGATTCACTGTGCCTTTCCCAAATTTGATCAGTTAGACATAAAAAGCCTGAAGTCCAGTATTGGTAGGACCATTATGTAGCATGTATGCTGCAACCACTTGAAGAACAGATTGTCTGTTCTCCCTTTTGCAACATTTATTCCTCATTGTCAGAATTAAGGACTAGTAGCTTGAATCTGTTTCCTTTAGGTCAGGGCAGAGGAATGTCATTCTGTCCTCAATAACAGTCTGGGGAGTAGGTTGGGCTGAAGGCTAGATTGCAAGATGAGTCAGTGATTCACCCTCTGGATCTGAACTCATCTCTTTGGCAATCAACCACCCATTCATTATGTTGGTTTCTGTTTTGCCTTTCAATGATGACGAAAGCTCTTGCTACAGATTTCTGTTCTACAACCTCTTCAGCTCTGAGATTTCTCAAAATCATGTCATTCGGTTGCCTCAGCACTTTGTGCCGCCAGTTTATTCCTTCAGTCCTTTCACCTCTTCCCTAATTGCGTGGCCAGTGGCTTCTGGATTTGCCTGTTCTGTCAGCATCTTTCAACACCAGAAGGTATACTTGGCATTCTTTTTGAATAGCTCAGGGAAAGCGCCTCCCAGAGACATGGTGTGGAGAACTGTAGCAGCCAGTGGCGGAAATGAATTGGCTATCTTGGTGGGTCTGGAGACCAAATTCCCCCACAGGTCCTGCACCCAGGGATGGTGGTGGGGTGGGATCGAAACAAGAACCGTTTCTGATTTTGATTCTTTGGATGCTGTGAAAGCTGTGTTTCTCTTCGGTGACTTTAGAGACAAGAAGTACTTTCCCTTAGTTTTGGATGTTTTTCTTCTTAGACTATGTCGTGAGGCCTCAAAAATAACTTTGGGGGCTACATGTGGCTGCACTTTGCTCACCTCTCTTTAAACATTGCTGCTTAAACTGACAAAATATATACAGTGGTGCTTCGCTTAACGGGCGCCCCGTTTAACGATGAATCCGCATAGTGATGAAGATTTTGCGATCGCTTTTGCGATTGCATTGCGATGTTCCCTATGGGGAAAAATCGCTTTGCGATTTTTCCCCATACGCCCCATTTTCGCCCAGCTGATCGGTGGGGCTTCGGGATGATGGGGGGAAGTGCTCCCTCCCCATCATCCCAAAGCCCGCATTTTCGCCCAGCTGATCGGCGGGGCTTTTGCACAGCTGATTGGTGGTTCCAAAATGGCCACCGGGTAAATAAAATGGCCCCCCGCAGTGTTTTTGCGCCCTTTCCTCGCTTACCGGGCAGCGAAAATGGCGGCCGGATGGAGGATTTTCGCTTAAAGGTGAGTTTTTTCCCCATAGGAATGCATTAAACAGGTTTTAATGCGCTCCTGTGGGGTTTTTTGCCCCGCATAGCGTCGAATCCAGATAGCAATGATTTTTTCGGAACGGATTATCGTCGCTCTGCGGGGCACCACTGTAAATGTTCCTGATGCTAGGGTTATATTAGTTTTCCTTTTTCCCACATACTTTTTTTTAAAGCCTCTAATTCTTTTCATCCTAAATGTGAAGAATTTTGTAAATTTTGATACACAGTACATTCTTCCAGAGTGGATCAGAGTTCTCTTCAGTTTGCACCAGCCAGTTCGCTTAAGTGCAACTATTCCCAGCATTGAGAGAATAACGTTTCACTTGATTGCCGTATAAAGAGAGGGGAGTGCTTCAGGGAAAAAAAGTTGCAATCCTAATTCAGCATGAATATTATTAGATGTGAGGAAAAGGGAGGATGAAAATGCAATAAAATGAAAATAAGTGAATGATATACGAAGGCCTAAATCAAGTTGCCACCAAGTAAAATATGGAATTGTTGCATCTGTTGCCGAACTGAGACATTTATGTAAACTTTTTTTTTATTTGATGCGTCCGCTTTAGTTGTTTAGCCAGTTGGATATAGACCGAAGGGATTCGGACCCAAAGCCCTTTCAGTGCATCTTCGTACTCTGCTAAGATTGCACATGGGTTCGTCTGGCCAGAATGTCTATTCTTGCTTGGCATTTGCTCTCCAGGATTCTAGCCTGTGGTGTTTGAGATTCTTGAACTGGGAGTTACCGGGGTTGAGTCTTCTTCTTAGCAAAGTATATACTCTACCTCAGGTTACCAATTTCATTTTTAAATGTGTTTAACATTAATTTTACTTATCGCCTTTAATAGAATACTTGTTTGATTTCTTTTTAACATTTGTATGCTTGCTGTTTTTAGCTTTTGAATATTGTCTTTTTAAAGATGTAAGCCACCTTGAGTCCTTTTTAAGGAGAAAGGTGGGAAGAAAATATTCTGAATGAATGAATTAATGAATGATTTTGTCTTGCCTTTATTTTATGCTTGCTTTCAGTAGCAGGTTGCAAGGGCTCGGTTATATGTCCCACCACAATGAAAGGCTAGGTTGGGACTCCCGGAAAGTTATGACTGACTGTTCTGCAGAGTTTTCACTGATCATACAACTCCCTCCTGAGGTTGGCTGCATCCTTTAGATCAGGAGTCTCAAACTCAATTTACCTGGGGGCCGCTGGAGTCACTGGATGATGCTGGGCTGCATCAGATTTTCTGCCAAGTAGAGCAAGAGCCCGAGGAAGCTGCCCAGGAGTTTCCTTAACCTGGCTGGGGCTCCGAGGAGGAGGAAGAGGGACACGTGAGCCCTCATAGCCAACCATGACCCCCTCTGGCTCCTTCTTCACTACCACCACCACCACCTTCACTACCACCACCACCAGCAGGACAAAGAAGCGGAGAAGGGAGGGAGCGAGGGCAACCACCTAGCGAGGTGGGGAGGAGAGCAAGACATAAGATTTAAAGACCCCCTCACAGAATTCTCCTTGCCAAATTCTCCTGCACCGGTACCTGCGAAATTAAACAGAATGGGGTGCCCCCCCCACAGGTGCACATGCGTGCGTGCACACAAACACACACACACGGAGGTCCGGCAACCTTCCTCTGAGGGCCCCCCTCAAAAAAAGGTGCACTCAACAACACCAGCTACCCCCCACGACAGAGGAGCAAACTTTGTGAGGGGAGCCCCGGCAGCCTCCAGAGCCGAGGTGGCTGAAGCAGGATG